GAAGAGCAAGACAAGAGCCGAGAGGAGGACAATGACGAAGAGGAGGAAAGGCTGGAGGAAGAAGAACCGAATGAGGAGGAGGAGGTGGACAACTGAATGAACGGGGAGGAGACGGGCGCCGAGAAAGGGACCACTCTGAACTGCAGCCTGGGGCTCTGGGCGCCTTTCCCTCCCTCCCGGGCAGAGCGGTCTCAGGCCGAAGAGCCGAGAAGATCGAACGTGACATCTCGCTAGAAGTTAGCAAAGCCAGCGCCTGCCAGACTCAGAGCATCTGAGGAGCGGAGCCCTGTTTTGCTTAACCGGTCTGAAGGTTATGGCTTTTTTTGGACAAGAGGGGCTCTGAACTGATCATTCAATCAGCCAATATGATCTCATTTGCTTGTGTGTATGATTAGGCCGTTTTTGATTCCCGGGTCCCTCCCACCCCCACCAAAAATAGTAACGTCCATGCCCCTGCTGTGTTCCAGGTCACAGGAGGCCGTGGAGGCTCAGGAAAAACTGGGGCTTAGTTAGCGGTCGGCCTGTTTGTACAGTATTTGGCAATACTGGCTCATTACAGTGATCAAAGCGGCTTAGCCGAAAGAACAATGAAATCTGTGGTCTCTCCACTTGACAGTTAATTCTGGTTTCTACCAGCCCACTTGGCTTGGGGCCCTTCTGTATTGCCTGTAGGCATTTGACCTGTTAGGTGTTGCTCTCCACACATAGGCTTGTTAAGTCCTCAGGACAGCGGACATCAACAAGCAAGTATGCCAGTGCCTTGATCTTACAAAGCAGGTGGTTTCGTCTTCGATGCACCTCCTTGTCTGCCACTGCACAGCTTTAGGGTCTGTTGTCACCTCCTGGAAGGTATAAAATCCCAGGCTTTCTCTTCTTGTAGTCCGTGTCCCAGACCTGTGACTGCGGCTTTTCGTTCTTCCAATTCATGACAAGTTCCAAACTTTATTTCTAGGCACAACTTTCTCCTGTGCGTCTCACTTCCTGCCTCTCCTCTGCTCCCCATCCCCATTCTCCCTCCTTTTTTCCCCCTGCCAGTCCAGAAACTTGGATAACCTAATCTCGTATCTTTTGTGTGTGTTTTTTCTATTCTTTCTTTTTTTTTTTTTTAATGTCATGTCTTTTAAAAATGGTTTTGTAAACCTCTGTGAAACGTAAAGGAAATCTGATGGTGCTCAGGAATCAAATCCTCTCCCTCCCCTGTCTTGCCTTCCTCCCACCCCGCTTTTAACTGCTTCTGAAGTACCTCCGTTGACCTTTCTTAAGTTTGGGGAGTTTTTCCTCTCTTTCCATTTAGTGCTCCAAGCACTTTTTTGCTTGTCTCTAAGGCAGCTGACAGGTAGTGAAGTGTAGTTTGACACTGTTAATTTGTTAAATTAATACAGTGAAAAATTTGTTGATAAATGAGAGAAGAATGTTGAGAAAATTATAAGGCTTTGTACAAATAAAAGAGCACTCTTGTTAAATGTGGTGACTCCTGTTTCATCCTCCTGGTTTGTAGCATGCTTTGGGGGAATACCTCCCGATGAGGCCTTACACAGTTTTGGGGCTGTGGACTGGGCCAGACCTTTGTAAATACGGGATCGTCATTGCCTTGGATGACCAGCAGATGCTGCTCGTTCGCAGGCCAGGGAGCTGCTCTTCAGCCACCGCAAGAGCTTTCATGGCTCTGCTGACATCCTTTACATCAGGGGTTCCCAGCGTGGGGGCGTGTGCCTCACAGGGGGGCAATTCGAGAATGAGTTATGACAGTGACTTTTTTGCATTTTTTATGGTTCTAGTGGCCTCATATACAGTATATAAATATGTATTATGACATTTGTGCATTTCAGTTCTCTCTTACTTGTTTTGAAACTTTATTTGCTATTTTTGATATCACTTCATGTTACTATTTTTTTAACAATAGTACTTCAGCTGTTCTTTTACTTTTCTCTTTCATGGATGCCATGTTCTTTGGAAGCTTGTTTAGACCAAGTGAATGGCCTTTCAGGCTTTCTCCATGTGAAGAGGAGTTCACTTTTTGAATAATAAGAATTATATGTCATGGCAAGGGTGGGGGGCATCAGGATTTAGAGATGCTTAGGTGGGGCATGGCCAAAAAAAGATTGGGAACCACTGCTTTACATAATAGATGCTTAACAACTCTAAAATGTTTATTGAGTGCTGTGTGTCTGGTGTTGTATTACCTAATCTACATAGCTTTCTCAAATCATGAATTTATAAATAACATTTCACAAAGATACAACCCCAAAAGTCATTAGATCCAGTGTAGGTTTTTTCCCTTCTCCACAGAAATATCATTTATTAATTCCCATGAGCACCACTTGGCTAAGACCTCAAGTCCCATCTGGACTCCTGTGACTTCCTTTGAGTTCAGTTTCCTGCCTCGTCTCAGCTTCCCCTGTATACTGCTTGCCAAATGGATCTTCCTAGAACATTGCTATTACAGTCACTTGATGTTTCCTATTAAATCCATACTGAAATGTTATTTCATACCCTGCTTAAAGAAGGCTCACCTTACCATCTATTCTAATCTACTACTCCAACAGAAGGCCGCAGTCAAAAATGAGTCCCCAAAAGAACCCCACTTCCACATGGCTTTAGTTCTTACCAAAGTTTACCTAAGAAAAGTCATGTTTCCTGAGAGTAGGAACTATGACTTAAAACTATAATTTAAGAAGTGGGAAGAATACTTGAGGTAATCCATCAGTTTTTCTCATCTCTATCATTCCTGTAGTGGTATCTGGATTTTGAAGATTCCTTACTAGGCTAAGGTAATGTTTCTCTCTCTCTCTCTCTCTCTCTCTCTCTCTATATATATATATATATATATATTGGTTTCAGAGAGGAAGTGAAAGGGAGAATGATAGAAACATCAGTGATAAGAACCACTGATTGGCTACCACCTGCCCCACACTGGGGATCAAGCCCACAATCCCCAGACATGTACCCCAACTGGGAATTGAAATTCAACTTCTTGGTTCATAGGTCTACCCTCAACCACTGAGCCATGACAAACCGGGCTCTCTTTTTCCTTCTTTTTTTTTTTTAACCACAGCCCTTCATGCCTAAAGATTCTAACCTGGATTTGGAGGGTGAGAGCGTTACCATCCTTACCCATGCAAAATTACTTTTGCAGCCTAGTCTATTTTTTTAAAAATATATATATATTATTGATTTTTTACAGAGAGGAAGGGAGAGGAATAGTTAGAAACATCGATGAGAGAGAAACATCGACCAGCTGCCTCCTGCACACCTCCCACTGGGGATGTGCCTGCAACCAAGGTACATGTCCTTGACCGGAATTGAACCTGGGACCTTTCAGTCCTCAGGCCGATGCTCTATCCACTGAGCCAAACTGGTTTGGTCTATTTTTTATTTACAGAAAAATTGCAGAGTACAGAGAGATCCCATTAAATTGGCCAAACTAGTTTGTATTTCATCTGTTTTTCCACTAACATTCTTTGTTCCAGGATCCAAACCAAAATACCACATTGCATTTGGTGAACCAATTTATTTTTTTAATCCTTCCCTGGGAATATGGGCTTTGTTTTGTTTTTAATTGATTTTAGAGAGAGGAAGAGAGAGAAAAACATTAATGTGAGAGAGACACATCAATCAGTTGCCTCCCATACTAACCCCAACCAGGGATTGAACCTGCAACCTGGGTATGTGCCCTGGCTGGGAATTGAACCCTCAACCCTTCCATGCACAGGATGACACTCTAACCAACTGAGCCACACTGGCCAGGGCACCAATTTTTTTTACATTGAAATTCACAGAACATACAATTAACCATGTTAAATATATATTTTATTGATTTTTTTTTACAGAGAGGAAGGGAGAGGGATAGAGAGTTAGAAACATCAATGAGAGAGAAACATCGATCAGCTGCCTCCTGCACCGCCTCCCCTACTGGGGATGTGCCCATAACCAAGGTACATGCCCTTGACCAGAATCAAACCCAGGACCCTTCAGTCCACAGGCCGACGCTCTATCCACTGAGCCAAACCGGTCAGGGCAAAATTAACCATTTTAAAATGAGCAATTCAGGGGCATTCAGCAGATTTAAAATGTTGTGCAACCACTTTTATCTAGTTCCAAAACATTTTCATCAATCCAAAATAAAAACCCTTACCAATCAAGCAGTTACTCCCCATGTTTCCCTCTCCCAGCCCTTGGCAACCACTAATCTCTATTTTTATAATGGTCTTCACAGCATTTAGCACAATGCCATGTACCTTCCTAGGAAGCACAATAGTGTAGTGGGGGGAGGGGTATTTTTACTTTTTTAAAAAATTATACATACTAAAAGATGCAGATAAATTTAGAGGTTGATGAATTTTCACAAACTGAACACATCCATGTAACATACTTAGATCAATAAGCAACATGACCAGCACCCTTAAAAAAAGCCCCTTTGATCTCCCAGTCACTCTCTATCTCCCCAGTAGTAATAGCTATACTGACTTAAAACAACACAGATTAATTTTGCCTGGGTTTGTATTTCATATAAATGAAATCATAATATGTACTCCTGTTTGACTACTTCTGTTCAATGTTATGTTTAATATTTATTCATATTGTTGCATTCACAATACTTTTTTATAGATCAGAGTGAAAGATTAAGGTAAAATTTGCAGAGAGTGGGGGTGGGAATAGGTCTTCCAGGCAAAAAAAAAAAAAAAAAAAAAGAGAGAGAGACACATGGGAAAAATAGATAACACCAAACAGCAACATTTTAAAATTGTCTCCCAATTTGGGCTCCTAGAGGTAAGGTAGATGGTCCTAATTATTTTTAGTTATCAAACTCAGAGTTGAAACAGGTGTCATGAAAGAAATGTTGGGCAGGGGGTCAAATAAAGGGGGAGGAGGGAGCAGTAATTATCCCTATGAGTTGAGGAGTATGTTTAGCAAACATTGCAAAGTAAGTGTGTGTGGTGGGGCCAATTTTTTAATCTCCCTGGAAATTGTTTTCCCAATTTGTAAAATGAGGATAGTAACTGTTGTCAAAATCAGATAAGTGAATATAAAATGTACGGTACTGTTTCTGACTCTCATGCGCGCACACACACAAACACATTACTTCCTGTCAACTGGACACAAATGAATCTGGAGGCTTTGCTAAAATAAATTTTTATTCAAGTGTCTAGGTTTGCGAACCTGAAACACAACTAACATAATAACGAGTTTTGCCCTGGGGCACATACCTAGGTTTCCAGTTAAGTCCGGGTCCTCAAAGGATATCTATCTATCTATCTATCTATCTATCTATCTATCTATCTATCTTCTCACCCCCGCCCCCCATCAATTTTTTTTTAAAAGCTTGAGTTTTTGAGTAAAAAGCACTTTTTTTTTTTTTTTACAAGAGTCAGTTCTGCATTCTTAGCCTCTGGGTTGATCCAAGATGGTAATATTCCAGGTCTGGTTTATTAACTGAGTTGCTCAGATGGTTATCTATGGGGGTCATGTATATCCAGGCATGGATGCACAACTAAAAAGTTTTAAGTTCCCAGGCTAGTTAGCAAGAATAGAATTGGTTTCCTATGCCTCAGCCTACTTGATTTTAATAATTTAGCAGCTTGACCACACTGATTCCATTTTATTTCTTCACTCTTCCTCATTCCTTTCTACCACCTTCCTTATTTGAACACAAATCAGAACTCCAGTAGCTAGGAACTAAACGATGTCCTACTTCCTTAGCATTAAGCCTCTCTACCTCTTTAGCTTGAAGTATAAAACAGGTTTGGGTTACAGATTATGAGAAGCAAAATTTGAGTGTAAGTGTAGTACAATCGACTGGCATCTTCACGATTCAAAGTTAGCTTTTCCATGATCCCTGATTCACCTTTATAAAAGCATTCCTTTGCCCTAACCGGTTTGGCTCAGTGGATAGAGCATCATTTGGCAGCGGACTCAAGGGTCCCGGGTGCGATTCCGGTCAAGGGCATGTACCTTGGTTGTGGGCACATCCCCAGTAGGAGGTGTGCAGGAGGCAGCTGATCGATGTTCCTAACTCTCTATCCCTCTCCCCTCCTCTCTGTAAAAAATCAATAACACGTATTTTTTATTAAAAAAAGCATTCGTTTGCTAGGGTATTGGTCCCGACCACCACTTCACCCAAGCCCACAAAGCCTCACTAGATTCCTCCCGCCCTGCACGTACTCTGTCCCAACTCCCCCCAACCCGCGCCCACACACACCTTTGGTCAGATCTCCCATTGTACTCCTCCTGAGGCCTCAAGTGCCCATGTCATTCAAATCACATCTCCCAAGCCACGGCACAAATTAGATCCTCGGCAACTACGATGGATTACATTTTCTCTTAAAACTTGGAAGGCGGCTGGTGCTGAAATAAAAAACTTTCAAACGCTCGGTCCGCAAAAACGAACTTAGCAATTGTGTTGGGCATCACGGTGTTGTCCTTGACGTCGCACTATGTCAACAAATAATTAACCAGCGCCAAGTGTGCTGTACATTGCGAAGACGAGGACTGCAAGGAGCCCCTCGGGGCTGTCACCGCTCCGGAGAAAGAAAGGTTCACTCGCCGACACCCCTGAGCCTCCCCCGCGCCGATCTCCGCCCACGCGCTGGTCCCGCCTCACACGCACGTGAGCCCCGAGGCCTAGCCAATCGGATGTGCCGGAGGGTTGGCGAGCCCGCCCGCCCCT